CTTAAATTTACCATTAGAGTAATTTCAATTGTGCATGAAACGTATTCCAGGATTGTATCGGGATTGCTCTTGTGTGCTCTGTGACTACTTGAGAAATTTCATGCCATCCTCTCAATCATGAAGGTGTATAACTGAAATAAATCGTGTCTCGGTCGTCAGCTTTTTACGCTCCTGGAGAAATGTTCGCATCGTAAGTTTGTCACGCTTTGTCGTTCTTGTCTTATGTGTGATCGTTGTGACAACTCTGGTTTGGTTTCTATACCTCAATTGAAACGGGTACGGCCATTGGTTATTGATATGTACCCTTCAATCTCTGCCCTGAAGAAGCCATTATTACATACAGTACTGGATATGTAAGAGTCGAAGTGGTACATACAGTCATTTTAATTTCAGGATGGAAGAAGACCACAGTGTCACACCTGGTGGTGGCTTCATCATAAAGAACCCGCCTCAGTGGGACGTAGGGGAGGCGGTGAGACCACGAACCAAGCCAAAGCCGAAGGTGAAGAGCAAAACTGTGTCTGGAATAGCTCTACCAGGGCTGGCTGATGCATTAATCAAGAAACAAATTGCAGCTGAAAATAAGGTTGGTCCATTGGAGAAAAAATTTTTTCTTGGAGTGATAACGTATAAGCTCACAAAACTGCACACCGTTTGAACAAGGAGTTCACCATATAGGAGTAGAGGTTTGTTAATCCTCAATTTTCCTCTGGTGCTATTCAGCCTCAGTATTAAGAAAACTTTGATGATCAGTCTGGACTTAAGGTCCTGTCACGACGTGTCTTGCGTGATGTCTTGCGTGATGTCTTGCGTGATGTCTTGTGTGATGTCTTGCGTGATGTCTTGCGCGATGTCTTGCGCGATGTCTTGCGCGATGTCTTGCGCGATGTCTTGCGCGATTTCTTGCGCGATTTCTTGCGTGATTTATCGGTGGCGCTTTGATTGACTGCTTGGATTTAGAGTATCTTAAACTCGATGTCGAAGTACAAACTTTGACGAGCTGTCTGAGCGCTCTTTTCTTGATGGAGCGTAAGTGGCCTTCCTTTTCACCGTTCAGTGTTTCTTCATCGAGTTTGGTTCAACGCTATTTACTGGGCGCTACAAACGTTTTAGCGTTTATTTGTTTTAACTTATGGTAGCAATTTACGATATTTTACCGATCGCGGATCCTCCCGGTTGATCTTCAAGTCTAGGGATAGATTAGCTAGGCTATCTCTATTGAACGAGACTCATTGATTTTATTAACTCCTTCACTCCCAAGATCTCTTGAGTAATTCTCCTTACTGTCTACCATATAATTCTTTTGATCTTAGTTCGGAGAATGTGGCATTGGATCGACTAATATTCCCATTACTGATTTTTTTTTTTTATTCTCATCACTTGTCTGCTCAATATTGTTTTAATAATGTAAGGAGAAATTCTGTCTTGGTCGCTCATGGGAGTTGTAGAGTTAATCTATTGTTTCAGGGGGACATTCACATTTCCTCCTCTTTTTGTGTTATTTTAGCAGCGTTCCCAGGGTAGCGCAGCCGAAATTGTCCGTTCGGCTGCCGAAAATAAGAAGAACATGTCAGCCAAGGAAGACAAATTAGAGAAAGAACATGAAAAACCTGCTTGGCTTGTGGAGGCGGAGGCACGGAGGAAACTCCATGAACAGCGACGGCATCCCAAAAGTAAAGACCAAGGAGAGAGTGAAACTAGTCAGGGGCCAGAGAAACCGGTGAATAATGGTCCTGTGCTCAAGTCTTTACCTCAGAAACCTGAAGTTGGAAAAAAAAAATCTGTCGGTGGTGGGGTGATGAGCGTTTTCCGCAATATTGTGCTTCGTCCTGTTCGGAAACCCGACGCAGTTCCAACCAAATCCGAAGACGACAGCGATGCTACGAAGTCGTTTAATGTTTGTCTTCGTCCCGTGTCTAAAGCAGGTCCTTTAGATAACCAAGCAGATGAAATAAAAGGAAGTTTTCAACCAGTACGTTTGAAACCTATTGCTCCCCGTCTCTCAAGACCCTTGAGTTCCTCAGTCACGAATACGGAAGCAACGCCAATGCGCACACGAACGCCTCCCGAAAAAACATCTACTTCACAGTCGGTTCAACAAGAAAAAAGTGCACGTGAGTATCACACCGTCCCTCTTCTTGCCCCGATAACTTTAGAGCGTTCGGAACCGAGGGTTTCTGAAAGTTTTTCGTCACCTACGAATGGTGAACGAGTCACGATTTCCTCGAACTACTTGAGTGGCCCTCATAAACTTCCCCCAAGTACAACGCCTAAACCTTCCAACAGATCTAAGACAGTGACAGTCA